GGGCTCAAGGATAGAGAGCACGGTTGTGAGAGCAAAGCCGATGTGTTACGCTACATAGTTGTCAATCTCGCCATGCTCTCTATCCTTGTACCATAGGCGGCTTGGAACGTCTTAATAAAAATAAATCTTCACACAATCTTTCACAATGATCGACCGCCTGTGTGCAAAATAGGTGAACGTATGTGAAACATATACGGTTAGTACTTACTGTGACATATCCGTGACTAACTGACACCACTAAATTGGTAAAATGTTCCATGCACCTTAAGAAATGTGAGAAATTACGAGGTTATCATCGCAGAACTGCCGAACACCGTACGTCACAAAGCTATAATATATGTAAACAAACACGCGGGTTGCTAGGTGCATGCCTGGCTCCGATATTCATTTTGAGGCCCGCTAAGCCAAGCATAAAGCGCGCGGACAAAACGTCACAAACACAGCTACGTTTATTGGCTAAAACAATCGAGTAGCGCGGTTAGGGATTTTCGGAATTATTTAATTTTAAGAAAAACTTCAATGTTCAATGAATGACGCACTCGTTCACTTCCGAAAGCGGGTAAAAATGCCTAATTTTTCCACTTCGGTGCGAAATGCATCGGCCGGGCCTTTCATTATTTACGAAAAGCAAACAGTCTCGCCAAACAGCTACACGCAGTAACGGGTCACGTCGTTGACGCCCCATTCATGCCCATCAACGAATAAGGTGGGGCTTATTATGATTACGGAGATGCCAAAATGCAACAGAAGGATGTAGCGCAGTGCGCTGAACGGCGTGCTATTTTCGTTTTTGTGCCAAACTCTATCGTAGGAAACCGTTCTAGCCTAGCAGAATGCCCTAGTTCCTGAGATCGGCGATTTGGTACTGTGATGGGTCCCCACCTTATATTATATTATAGAGAGGTGCGGCGTAGGCTGTGATTGGAAGACATCTAAGGAAGCGTTTCACTTCCCGATCCAGGTTCTACGGTTTAGCATGTGGGAGATCCCCTCAAGGGTAGCATCAGGTTGCGTCGATAGATTCCACGACAGATAGCACGAGCGGTAGCACAGATAGATAACACAATAGATAACACGAACTCAGGATTATCAATCTACTCGTCGTTGGTTCTATTACACCACAGAATATTCATCTTAACAGTCTAAATAAACACAACTCCACGAAACTACACAGATGCCTACACACAGAGAATACGTGATCAAATACAACTGATTTCGTACCTTAGCGAGGAGGTTCACGGAGACGCTCGGTCGGGGTGAAGGTGGAAGGTAGAAGATAGACGGAGAATTATCGCTGGACTATGTGTGAGAATAACTATAGGCACGATCGGAGCGGGACAACAACCGGACTATCGGATTCAAAGGATCAGAGCCGAGTCGTTCTCTACCTGCGCGTTTGGCGTCAACAAATCCGATCCCTAAGGGATGACGCAGGTAGCTGGTGGCGGGTGACACCAATATATCACCCGGCGAATATGGCGAGATTTATATTGGTCGTTTACGCCGTGCGGCGAAGCTCATGCAGACTCATGGGAAATTATAAATGTAAACAATAAGTGTGGAGAAGCCGGCGCTTTCCTACAGACACATAGTGTCAATCCTCGGCGCGCCTCGGCATCATGGCCGCATCACGTCAAGTTCTTGGTCTATTTATCAAGCTTTAGTACAATGCCAAAGTTATCTCCACAGTAAAATCTATATGAATGAGATTTAACTACGTTGTATCATTATCAATCAATAGACGCTTTATTGTCTATAATGGTTGATATATTGATATATTAACTAGGATTGTCCAAGAAATAGCAATACAATTTATTGTTATTGATGCTAAATGATTATTTTAATAACAGCTAACATAAAATGTTAAAATAGAACTAATACTTATAGATAAAAGTTTACATGTTGTACAATACTTACGATAGAATGATGAATAATTATACATAGCCGATAAATAATAAATGAAACCGAAGAAAATTAGGCCTATAATACTTTTGGTTTGATATCTCCACCTTATATATTTAATCACATTTTATTGTATATCGCTAAACATAACTAACCCTACATGGGACGGTTTTACGGTTAAAAATCGCACACGAGAACACAAAAAGATAATTTTTTCTTGTTTTGGAATGAATTTTCGAAAGAAATAATAGCAATACAGTCTATTTACTTTGTGTCATTAAGAATATAATACAGTCCCTGATACCGTCATGTACAGATACTTCACCGTCATACCAATATATATATATATATATATATATATATATATATATATATATATACTACCTACCTACTACTACTACCTACTACTAC